TCTTAAAGCTCTGTCAAGTTTGAACATTCTTGGGTTGGATAATTTCTTCTTGATCACTTCTTCCTAGGAGTCTTAAAGTTTGCATGCCATACCCCTTTATTTGAATCCATGCTAGAAATACCTCAGTGTTTGAATTCACACAGAAAAGAATGTGCATTTGCTTTTGTTCTGTTAATCTCTGTTATTATTTACAGTGATGGCTTGTATACCCGGTTAGTAATAAATCCTTGTTTGTTGCTAAGCATGTTTTTAAACGATCTTCCTGACTCATTTTCTTGTGACACTGTATGTTTATAACATGCAGTTGTCACATCCCTACATTACTACTTATGTATAAGTTATTTTAAGCTAGATTTTAATATTTAGGAGGTTCTTTTTCCTGGTTTTATTGATTTAATAGCTATTGAATAAGTATAAGTCAAATCATGTATACATTCTTATATTTGTTCTTAAATTTGATATACTGGTATGAAAAGGAAGTCAGTTAACTTCCCTTCAATCAACCAAACTAAGCTTAAGAGCATCTTGCAGAATTTTGATTTGTTTAGATTCATGTAAATTAGTAAGCCATAATATAGGAGAATTACTTGATGTGCTAATTGTGATTTGTTCAGTAAAACACAATTGCATAAGTTCAAACTACATATTTTAATTTTGGCAATTGTATATTTAATAGACCATGGTTAAGGAAATGACCAATTGGCCATAATAGAATCAGATCAAAATTTTGCAAGATCGCCTTTAGCTTGATTTGGTTAATTGACAGGAAGTAACTTCCTTTTCATGCCACTATTATACAATTAACAAATATAACAGAATACATGAATAATACCGTGTTTCTCATATAATAAGGCTGGGCCTTAAAAAATTTTTGAGCCCTGAAAAAATGGCTAGGACGTCTTTTCGGGAGTGAATTAATTTCTCCCCCCCCCCCCCACGCATCCACACCTAGGGCGCCCCGCGGGCAGCTATGCCTTGCCACCAGCTACTCCTAATGGCTGATCATGGCAGAGCACGGAGGGCTCCGTACCCCCTCCAAGAGCCTTTGCTGCAGACCCAGGTCAGCCGGTGGGCAGCATCGGCGTGGATGTCCGCCAGCAGCATTTCAGCCGCTTCTCAGGCCTCCATAGCTTCCACAGTTCCCACCGGTGCTGGCGTCTCTCTCGACAGAGCCGTCTCCAACAACAGCGTCTGAGTTGCTACTGCTTTTCCCCATCCCTGTCCCCCCCAACAACAGAAAAAAAAAACATTTTGAGGTACCTGGGAGCGCTGTGCGCTGCGTTTTGGTTTAATCCTGAGCTCTGCAAGTTTCCAAAAGTCCTGGTGTGCCGTTCCTACATTCCAAGTGCGCCCAGGCTAAACTGCAGCTGTCCCTCTCTCGCCAGTGCCATCTCCAACAACAGCGACAGCAGTGGCAGGAACCGTGGAAGTGTTTCAGCCGCTTCTTGGGTAGGGGAGCTGCCTCTGTAACTTCCACGGTTCCTGCCGCTGCTGCCACTGTTGATGGAGACAGTGCTGGTGAGAGAGGAACAGCTGCAGCTCGGCCTGGGTGTGCTTGGAATTCAGGAACAGGCTGCGCACTGGGACTTTTGGAAATTTGCAGAGCCCGAGGCTGGAGCATCAAGGGTAGCAGCAGCAGAGACGCTCGCTCAGCTCTTCTCACGCCCACCCAACCTCTCGGGATTAAACCAAAGCACAGCGTGCAGCGCTCCCAGGTACCTCAAAATGTTGTTTTTTTTCCTGTTGTTGCAGGGATGGGGGGAAAGCGGGAGTGTCTCAGACGCTGTTGTTGGAGACCGCTGCTGGTGAGTGAGGTGCCAGCATCGGTGGGAACTGTGGAAGCTACGGAGGCCTGAGAAGCAGCTGAAATGCTGCCAGCGGACATCCACGCCGCCGCCACCCGCCTGCTGACCCGGGTCTGCAGCAAAGGTGCTTGGGTGTAGGGAGCCCTCCACGCTCTGCCATGATCGGCTGTTAGGAGCGGCTGGTGGTGAGGCATAGCTACCTGCGGGGCACTCCTAATGGCAAGTTCCCCCCTGCCTTCCCCCCCAATTTTGCATGTTTTAAACAAGGCCTAAATTTGGGGGGAAGGGCTTAGTTTCATTTTATGCCTAGAAAACATGCTGGGTCTTCCTATGGGGGGGCATATTGTTGGAGAAACACGGTATATAGTTAAAAATAATTGAATTGATTTATATTTATTCAGTAAAAAGCTTAGTTTAACCATAGTTGTATATTAATCTAAATTTATCTAGAGGTTTCGTTTCCGGAAGGATAGCTGTATTGACTGATTTCAGTAGGAACCAGAGAGTCTTGAGTTCACATTAATCTATATACTATTAAAACTTTCATTCCTATAGCCTTTAACTGGGAAAAACAGTGCATCATAGAGCAATCATTTTTGAGCCAAGGTATCTCAAATAGATTAACTTACAGAATGTGTTCAAAATCTGGGACCCATAACTCTCTTGGAATTGAAATTTGGCAAATGTTTTAAACCATTTTATGACATAAACATATCATCAGTGATTTATTGCATAATACAAAATGTCATAAAATATTTTCTGTGCTAATGTTTGACTGCTATCTAGTTCAACATGGGCTATTTTCAAGGGAGATAGCGTTCTGAAGGTATCCCAACTTTTCTAGTGAAAGCAGTACATTAGAAGTTCTGTCGTTGTTGTAGACATTGAGGAATCTAATAAGGAAATACCTCTCAACTGATGACCCAGTGATGTCTCTATAACCTTTAACTGAATGAAACACGGGCAACAATTTTTGTTCCAAGGTACCTCAAATGGACTAATTTACAGAATACCTCCAAAATCCAGGACCTATGACTTCTGAGGAAATTAAATTGGGGAAGTTGTGGCTTTTTCAACTGCTGGGCTGCTGCTGTGGTCCCATGATCCTCATTTTCAATATTTCTGAGCCATTCTGGCAATCCTTTGCACTCTCCCTCACCCACTCAGCAGCCACTTACCTGTTTTCTAGGAAGGGAAGATTGAAAATCCTATGTTTCCTTACAATCCGTGCTACCCTCCCCAACCCGTGCTACTCCCGAGGTGCCTTCTTTGATCTCTATGATACCTTTTGCATATTTCCATGCATCCTCGCCCACTTTGCAAGCCTTCCTGACCCAAGCTGACTCCCTGTGTTCCATCTCTGACCCAGAGGGTTTCTCCCCAGCACTCTTCCTGACTCACACTGCCCACCTGTATGCCTTATCAAATATGTGTGACATAGCTTGTGCCACACCCATGCACACTTCTCAACCTTCACACGTAGTTGCTTACTGGCCTTGGAATTGCAACTTCTTGTTGGCTTCCCAATGACTCTCCTTGCAAGCTTCCGCGAGCAGAGTAAATGGGGAAACAGTAGGAATTTGAGAGAAGGAAAGAAGGCAGGAGGGAGGGAGGAAAGAAGGAACAGTGCAGAAGGAATAAGCGGAGGAAGGAAAGAGAGAGAAATATGGGAGGAAGAAAGGGACAGGGTAAAAGGAAGAGGGAGGGAGAGTGGAAAGGAGGAGATGAAGGAACATTTCTGATACTCCTTGCCAATACATACATACATACATACATACATACATACATACATACATACATA